TCAGGTTTTTTGTGGTTCTTTGTGGGGATGCTAAAAAAACAAATTTAGGCCTTCTGCAAGAGAGTACATACTTTCAGCTGCTGATCCATCTCCCCAGTCCTGCTTTTAGATTGTCTGTCTATCTGTCTCTGGTTTTTATCTATCTATCTATCTATCTATCTATCTATCTATCTATCTATCTATCTAACCCTAAACTTTGAAACTGCAATAGGAAAGTAAGTAAAACTCTTGAAGGCATAAATAATTGCAGGCTAGAACTTTCTGAAATGGACTCCCATGACACAGAAAATAATCCCAAGAATTGAGAAATAGTACATAGGAATTCAAAAGCTACTTCCAGCCTGAAGGGTCAAGAGATAGTCTACAGAATGGAAAAATCTTTTTTTTAACTACATGGGGAAGATATGATGAATATCTAGGATATATAAATAAAAGTAACTGAACAATACAAACACCAAATAATGTAATCAATAACTGGCCAGTGAATCAATAGGCAATTCTGTGCAGAAGAAACATGAAATTGAAAACAAACATCTGAAACAGATTTTTGTTCTGAGTCTGGGCCACTTCACTCAGAATGGTTGTTTCAAACTCTGTGCATTTACCTACAAGTTACACGATTCCATTCTTCTTAACAGCTAAACAATATTTTTTAAAAGATTTTATTTATTTATTATGTATACAACATTCTGCTTCCATGTATATCTGCACACCAGAAGAGGGCACCAGATCTCATAACGGATGGTTGTGAACCACCATGTGGTTGCTGGGAATTGAACTCAGGACCTCTGGAAGAGCAGTTGGCGCTCTTAACCTCTGAGCCCCTAAACAATATTTTATTATGTAAATGTACCACATTTTAATTATTCACTCATTAGCTGATAGACATCTAGCACAGTGGTTCTCAACCTGTGGGTTGTGACCCCTTTGGAGTGTTGTGTTACTCTTCATAGGGATCATATATCTGATATACTGCACTTCAGATATTTACATTATGATTCATAATAGTAGCAAAATTATAGTTCTGAAGTAACAATGAAAATAATTTCATAGTTTAGATTACCACAACATAAATAACAGTATTAAAGTGCCACAGCATTATTAAGGTTGAGAAGTATGCATCTTAGTTGTTTCCCTTCCCTGGCTATTGTGAATAGAGCAACAATGAACACTGTCGAGCATGTATCTCTTATATTTTTGGTTGTGAGCCTAGCCTTTAATGGCTGAGCCATCTCTCCAACCCAAGCATGTATCTCTGTGGTAGGATATAGAGTCCTTTGGGAATTTGCCCAGGAAATGTACAAATGGATAATATCTATTATTTTTATTGTTTTATTACTACTAAGTAATTTATTTTTACATTTGTAATCAAAATATAAACACATAATTCTTCCTTCCCTTTTTTAACCAATATTGTATCTCATAATCTCCCTCTCAATGACATCTGGAGAAGTAAGGTGTCACCCAGATCCTGCTTAGGGTGTTAGGCATAACTCTGTTCCATCCATTCATCTATCTTCTGTCTGTCTATCTATCTATCTATCTATCTATCTATCTATCTATCTATCTAAAACTACATAAATATAACCTGCTCTGTCCATATTTGTTGTTTGTGTGGATATAGTTTTAGGGCTCACCACTTTATATTAGAAATCCTAACAGGGCTCATCCCTTGAGAATCTAATTCTGTCTAAGCAGTCAGTAGCTACCTGTAGGTCTTAGACTAGGGATAGGACACTGAGATTCTTCCCTACCTTATTAGCATGTCTACTAATATTGTCATTGTTCAGGCATTGGTCAAACAGGCATTCTAAAAAAGACAGTCACACAGCAAACTTGTTGGTATTCAGACTCACAATCTTCCCACTCCTTTTTCTGTCATGTGCCCTGAACATAGATAGGGTGCAGTAGCTATGCTGCCAATGTATTGAGGTGGGGCTCCCCACAATACATTGATATTTGCATTGTGTACAGTTGTGGCTTCTATAAATTATTTTCAGATATTTTCACACATGTGTACAACTCTCATCCCTACTTCCTTAAGCTCCTTGCCATAGCCTTCTCCTCACATATCGCATTTCACATTCATGACTATTCACTTTGTTTTGTTACCTATTGTGACTAATGTGTATAGTCCATGTAACCATGGGTTTTGACCTATCTGTTGAAGTCTGGTTGGCTCAGCTATGAATATGCTACTAAAGATGGTGACTACCACTCTCAGAGTCTGTTAACAGTTAATAGTTATGAAAATTGATGTGGCCTCATGTGCCCCCCATCTTCTCTAACTTATTTCTTTTGTCCTTCTTTTAAAAGAATTTATTTAATTTTTGATAATTTCATAAACTTCTAGACATTACTGGGAATAGGTAACTTTAGAATACGGGAAAACATTACATGATAATATTACAATACATATTATATAAGGAACTCTTAGAACTTAATAGAATCCACTAACTGTCCAGAAGCATTTAATTTGATATAATACCATTTCCTCTTTTTGCTATTGGTTTGTGCTTTCTTTTTGTTTGTTTTCTGTGTTCACCCCCAAATCCTGTTCCATTTTAATAATGGTCTCCTATTTCTATGTCTTATGTTTAAGGTATTAATTTTTGGGGGCTTCAGGGTTTTAATAAAATTTTATAATTATTTTTTAATTTTTATTATTTATTTTTTTATGTTATATGTATTTTTATCGCATTCTCCCTTTCCAGATCCTCTTCCCCTCCCTACTCACCCAATTTCAAGTTCTTTCTCAAAAAGTCAAATTAAATACAACAAAAAATCCCCCAAACCTCCAGAAATCAAGGAAATAGAAGAAAAACACTCATAAAAAACAAAACAAAACACCAAATTGTAATGAAATATTGTTACTTGGCATTGACAAAATACATTAAGATTTCCCTGGCTACTGATTAATACCAAGTATAGAAAAAGTACCATAATGACAACAATATACTAAAGTCTTCCAAAAACCTATTAAGAGTCAAGACAGGCTATACAAGCTATATAGACAATGAAATAAAGATAGAGTCTAGGGAATTAAGCAATGTAACTATCAAATGACAGGCTGTAGAAAGAACATGCGAAAGATTGGAAAATGGCTGGTGAGTTAAGATACTTGGATGTCACTAAGGATTGCGAAAGATTGGAAAATGGCTGGTGAGTTAAGATACTTGGATGTCACTAAGTATTGACCTGAGATCAAGGAATATACATTTATAAGCACACAGTCACAGCAGACATTTGGACAAAGTGAGAAAACCTTGGAATAACCATGATGATCAGAAATAACTTTAAGTCTACACTACAATTTACAGGACAACTTGGACAAGACAACAAGTGCATATTTGGGTCCTACAAACTTATTTCCTAAATTAAAATCTCATATAAACTTCCTGTAATTTGTGTAGTAAAAGTTTTGTTGTGGGACCTTTAAACAGAAGCATCCAAGGTGAGGAAAATTCTTTAGCAACATCCAATGTTAATATTAATATTTTCTAGGATAAATTATATAAAATTCTGATGTGTCACCATCATAGGAAGGAGGAAATTTGCTTTTTAAAAACTACTCTTTCTAATGCTCCCTTCATGTCTCTGTTTCTGAGGCTATAGATGAATGGGTTCAGCATGGGAGTTACCATTGTGTACATCAAAGACATTACAGTCTCCTTTGCAGGAGAGTTATCAGCAGAAGGACATAAGTAGAGACCAATGACTGTCCCATAAAATAATGACACTACAGACAGATGGGAGCCACAGGTAGAGAAAGCTTTACTGATACCTTGTGAAGAAGGGACCTTGAAGATGGAGGAAACGATTCTTGCATAGGAAACAATGATGAGAAGAAAAGGGAGTACAACTATAGGGCCTCCCAAGATAACTATTGCCAATTCATTATCATGAGTGTCAGAACAAGCCAGTTTCAGCAGGGTAGACATATCACAGAAATAGTGGGGGATCACCCTGTCCTCACAGAAGGATAATCTGGCCATAAGCAGGGTGTGCAGCATGGCATGGAATGTGGTCAGCACCCAGGAGAACACTACCAGACCCACACAGAGCTTAGGACTCATGATGCTGGTGTAATGAAGGGGGGAACAGATGGCCACATAGCGGTCATAGGCCATGGCTACAAGAAGGAAGTTCCCAAGGTCTCCAAAAAACAGAAAGAAGTATAGCTGTGTCAGACAGCCTGCATAGGAGATGGATGAGTCTTGGCTCTGCATGTTTTGCAGCAACTTGGGCATCGTGACAGATGAAAAGCAGAAATCAGCAAAGGAGAGATTGCTGAGAAACAAGTACATGGGTGTGTGGAGACGGGAGTCCAGTTGGATGAGTAGGATGATGATGAGGTTCCCCATTATGGTGGTGAGGTACATGGCCAGGAACAGGGCATAGAACAGGTGCTGATCCTCTGGGGAGATGGGCAGTCCCAGAAGGAAGAATTGGGAGATGACAGTTTGGTTTCTTCTAGTCATTTGTTTACTTCAATGCCTTTTCTGAAGTCAAAGTAATAGTGCCACCTAACTTAATTCCAAATGAAGATGAAAATATTTGAAATTTATTGGATGATGAGCAGAAGATGTAAAAAATTTACATGCTCTACAAGACATCATCACAATAAGCATGCTTTTCAGATCAGCATAACTATGTCAACATTTATTAAGGACTTATTAAACTTTGTCTAACATATTTCACTAGCCAGTACTTTCCCAAACAGTTTTTTTCTACTTGATTCTGGCATGAAATATATTTGTTTTCTTACACTTACCTGGTTAGCCATCTTAGACAAACTTGATTGCCTCATGTTTTACCATTCTCTCACAATTTGATGTATCTAAAGAGATTTTCTATTATCTATCTATCTATCTATCTATCTATCTATCTATCTATCTATCTATCTATCTATCTCTACAATAAACAGGTTGTGTATACTAAAGTTTTAGATTGGCACTTAAAACTCATCTGTAGGTTTCTTTCCAAACTACAGAACATGTATACCATCATTAATTAATCATTTTTAAACATTTTTTATTTTAATTAGAAAGAGGTTTATTTTACATGTCAATCCCAGGTCCCTCTCCTTAGCCTCTTCCCCTCCATTCCCAACTGACACCCATAATATCACAGTAGATTCTTAATTCATGCCCCATTTCTCTTCCTCAGTGCCCTTTCAACATTATTCATTGACACTTGCAATCTAAGATGGAAATCTTATCCTCCCTTTTCTAATAAATGGTTTCAAGAAGATAATATTTTAAGACAAAGGCACATTCTTTTCCTTTGAGTACACAAATGATACTTTATTGCTGGGCCTGTGCCACCTTTCAGGCCACATATGTGCTCACAGTGATTCTTGCCTCCCACTTGTTCTGTGGATGATGACTGGCTTCTTCCTGTTGCTCATGCTTTACCTGACTTATTCCTACTTATCCTTCATTTATAGTAGATACTTCTTGCTTTGAAAATCTTTGCCTACCTGCCAAGACCTGATAAGACCTCCTACCATGTTCCCAAAGCATCCTGTACTCATTCCACAGACCCTGGTCATGATCAGCTTATTATCACTGGTTTATAGAGGACTTCATATTGGAATTCAAATTCCATACTAGAAAAAAATATCATGTCTGCTTTTATTTTATAACAGGGACAATGCTTGGCATGGTGCCTGGATGTGACCAACCTTTCTTAAATATTTCTTGGCTGTAATGCAGGCTGAGGTATAGAATCTTCACTTTTGCAGACAGAAAATTACCATTAAAGTTAGAATATACACACTTGTTTAAACTTTGCAGAATGCAAATTCATTAGACTTCACCACTAAAAATCTTGACACTATGTGATCAAGTTCAGAGAGGTAACTTTGTATTTACTAAACACTCATGATATGAGGGTATGATTGTTTTCAGCAATTCTGTTGACTAAACATGCCACAGAGCCTGTCACTAATATTGATTAAGAAAATAAACATGATGATCATTTTATAAATTACTGAAAACACAAAAAGAAGCACAAGGTATGTTCATACATGCAAAAGTTATCTTGGGTTCTCTCTCCTATATACATAGCATCAATTGAGGGATAGTTTCTTAGTCCCTGATAACAAGTTTTATATGTTTTTATTTTTATAATTAAATTAGACCAATTCTAAATTAGAAACAAACTTCTTTTACATGTCAGTCTTAGTTCCCTCTCCCTCCCCTCCTTTCCTCATCCCCATCTACCCCCTATCCCAATCCCTTTCTGCTCCCCAAGGGTGAAGCCTTCCATGGGGATCTACAAAATCTGTCATGTCATTTGGATCAGATTCTAGACCCTCCCCAGTGTGTCTATGCTGAGAGAGTATCCCTCTATGTGAGTGGCCACAGTCCTCCACAACCAGAGGCTCCATAGATTGCCAGACCTCCAAACTGACATCCTCTGATAACAAGTTTTTAGAAATACCTTTTTGTAATGCTATTAGGAAGACATTCTCAATATTATGAATGTTGACGTCAGTAGACCTAGCAAATCACTCTTCATAATATGACAAGCCTCATGAAGCAAGTTGATGGATACACAAGCAAATGTGCAGGCTTCTGAAGATAAATTCTGTCTCTATACTGCTCTGGACTCAAGACTGCAGCCTCTACTCTTCTTAAAGACTCTAGAGTCTGGCTCTGTAGATATTAGACCCTCAGTTACCAACAATGTCTAAGCTGCATCCTTAAAATGAATTGCCCTCTCTGTTCTGTTTTCCTCTAAATAGTTTTGACTAAAGAACAACTTCAGCATGCTTTAAGCTGGTGAAGAAGGCAAGGGAGTGGCATTAAGAGACATATGAGGCTATGAATGTAGCTCAAGTGTATAATACTTGGCTAGTATGTCTACCACTCAACAAAGCCACACAGAAGGTACCTTCACTCTGCTGATGTGTATTTAATGCAGGTGCATTCATTGATGTGTACTTTAGAATCATGTTTCAGTATTATGGAGTGATGACACTTGTAGGGAAAACCATAACCCAGTTTTCCAAATTCTGCTTCCCTTGGGAATAACAGGCCAGGTGTAGTAGTTTGTGTCTGTAACTCCAGTATTGCAATGGAATATGAGAGGTTAAGATAAGAGAGTCCCTGAAAGAATGCAGGCAAGGTAGCCTGGTGTATGCCATGGCAAACTATAAGGCATTGTGTATTGTGAAATGTGAGTTCACAGATGCCTGATGTCCTCTGACTTCTACATTGACAGAGACAGAGACAGACAAATATAGAGAGACAGAGAGAGCGACAAAGACATGCATAGAGGAACAGAAGAAAAGAGAGAAATATTTACAAACCAATGAACTAGAAAACTGATCCCTGTGTAGTAGTGCAGACCTATGTCCCAACACTTGTGAGACTCAGGCTAGAAATCACCATAAGTTTGAGGACAACATGGGACAGAGTGAGTCTCTCCCCACAAAATCCAAAGTAAACTATAGAATGGAAATCAATTTCCTAGACCTGTTATTAACTCAAAATGATGATTTGGGAGAAAAATTTAAGAATGAGTATTGTAAAGCACCTCATAGATACTAGGATATTTATCATGGTGATCACAAAACAAATACTTCTAAATGAGTCAGAGAGATGGTAATGATGAATATTTTATATCTGAAAAAACTAACCTGAGAGTATGTGATTGGGAAGAAAAATAAAATATTCTCAAGTTGGAAGAACAGCAAGTGAATGGCTCATTCCCCTGATAACTCTGGATGGCCAAGGGTGATTTTTATATCCTGATAAAAGATCCTCCTCTTCTTATTCACTATGGGCACAGGAAGTCACCAGGTCTGCAGTCCTCTCCAGTGTCTACACACATTTCAAACCCTTCCCCTGCTATGCATCCCTACATAAGACACTCTGTGTCCCACAGGAGTCCAGGTCTGCAGTAACTCATTAAAAGCAGTAATTTTCCATGACCTCTAAAAGACCAGTTCCCTCAGGGTCCCACTGAGGTGACTGATAATAGCCATTGATCACATGTGACTACACTTTAGGGGAAAGTGAAGTAGGAGAGAAACTCATGATCAGATATTAACTGACTGTTTGGTGGTTTCTGTTCTTTGTGTGGTGATGCAGAGAGTTTCAACAGTTGCTAAAAGTAACCAGAAAGTATATGTTAAATGACATAACATAATATTTCTTAGAATATAAATTTTCTTGTAAGTGGTTGTTAAAGACACACCCTTTTCTTTTTCATAAAATAATTAATTTATTTTACTTACTGGCCACAGTTTTTCCTCCCTCTTCTCCTCCAGTCCATGCCCCTCCCCTCTTTCCTCCCATCTACCCTCTTCCATTTCTGTTCAGGAGAGGGCAGGCATCCCATGTATATCAACTAAAATGGCATATCAAGTTTCAGGAAGACTTAAGTCTTCCCTTGTATGAAGGTTGGACAAGACAGCTTAGTATGATGAATGGGTTCCCAAAAGCCACTAAAAAAGAGTCAGAGACATCCCCAGCTTCCACTGTTAAGCATTTCACAGTAAGACCAAGGTACACAACTGTCACATAGATGTAGAGAAGACCCCATTTTCAAGATTGCCACTTGGCACTCTGTGGATATATTGTAACTCCATGTAAACAAGCCCTTTGAGGAATGGGTATGTTTCTGCATAGATAGCATAGGTTAGACTTCTATGACCCCACTTTCTTTTCCTACTAATATATATTAAGGATAAGAATGTATGAAAATTGCATGTCCCTACATCATGTTTAATTGTTAAGAAAAAGTGAAGCACACATGCCTATTACTTATATGACTTTTGACCTCTTAGCTTAAGAAAAATTTTAATGTCACCTATCACCACCATCTTCCAAGCTACCTTTCCAGTTGTTATATTATAGAATAATGCCAAAGTCTATGCTCCTGTAATTTTGAAGCAATAGCTGAGATCTATAATTCTGTTTTACACTAATCCTTTATTGTACATGGTAATAATCAGTTGGATGAAATTTGTGATGTTGTGTCATAATCAAGTTTTCCTTTTGAGGGAATCTGCATCTCCATTATTCTTATGTTAATTGGGCCAATATAGGTCATGCTAACATTTACTTTTTGACATGCAAATATACTATTTCTCAGAGAATGCCCCAGGAAGGGACACAGCATTACTTGTTTTACTTTTGTATAGCAATCATGTTTTCCATTGATCATAAGCTTCTACTACCCCATACACAATTATATCTTTGTTCCAGTTCAATAATTGCCTCTTAAGTATCTGTGAGCCCCTATGATACCTGCTAGTTGATCTCTGGGCTGTGTTCTCCTGGTGTCCTGGACCCATGTCTCCTTAAATTATTCTCGATATTGTCTGCAGGATCCCCCAAGCTCTGCCTAATGGGTGAGGATGTCTGCTTCTGCTCACCTCAGCTTTTGAGGGTTCTTAAATAAGGTGTCAGATGGCTTTAAAGAACTATTAAACACTCTTAGAAGTCAGAAAAATTAAAATCAATTT